AATGGGCTTTGTGGAGAGAGACAGCCTCTTCTTTTCTTTGGTCTTTGCTGGTGACTCTCCATGTGTCAATGCACTTCAGTGGTTGGTGGACCATCTGAGTGGTAGTTGTGATGTCTAGCCACTTACATGGCAGCCATGGTTACTGTGGTGGCTGCAGTGGGCCACCCACATGGAAGTGATGTTTTTGGCATGCTGCTTGGTGCTGGTGGTGTGCCTGGTTGGGGGGGGGGGGGGTCCAGTCTCTGGCTTCATGCCTCAGGTCCATAGACGGGCCCCTAGGTGCTGACAGGGTGCCTGGTTGTGGGCAGGGGTCTTGTCCCCAGCTCAATTCCCTGGGCCCCCAGGTGGGGTCCTGAGGTGCTTGAGGCATACCTGGTTGTGGGCAGGGGGAGGTCTAGTCCCTGGCTCCATGGCCTGGGCCTATTATTTTTACTATAGGTGTTTACAAGTATAAATTTTCCTCTAAGCACTGCATGAACCCTGCGTCCTATAAATTTTGATATGTTGCACTTTGATCTTTATTTCAAAGTACTCTCTAATTTCCCTCTGATTTTTCTTTTCACCCATTATTTGTTTAGGAGAGTTGTTTGATTTCCATACATTTGTGAGTTTTCTAAAGTTTGTTCTGTTATTGTGGTCAGAAAACATATTTTCTATGATTTTAGTCTTTAAAAAAAAGAAAGAAAAATTTTAAGAAGTTCATGGAAAGATTTCCTGAAATTTTTGAAATGCCCTTGTGTTTATATTCTGTTATTGATTTTTTATGTTGCTGAACTTAGATATTTAATTTCTGTTCTTGATTTCTTTTCATTAAGAGGATCTATTGATTTGCTTAGAAATTAATTTGCCTTTGAAAATTTTATTCATCCTCTGTTGAAATTAATTTGATATTTGCATGCTTTCAGAAGACTTTAGAGAGCTATTTCAAATAATAGTAGAGATTATAAAATGAAATTTGTAAATTTTAAGAAGTTTTACATCTCCAGTTTTTGTAACAGTTAGAAGCCCTACTTTCTACAGAGTATTTTGTTATTCATCTGTTATTCAGTTTATGTATTTGTTATTTGAACAAAGAAATGTGCATATCCTTGGTATATCTAAAAAAAATTTAAAAACTAAAGTTAAAAAATTTTTTAAATGTTATTGCTAGACATAAACTGTTACTTTAAGAATGGTTTTATTTGCTTTATTTAAAAAGATGAACATGTTTCCTTTATTGTTCATATTGTTTATTTGTTGTAATTTCTTTTCTGTAAGTATTTGTTTATACCTTGTCATTAAGAATTTCTAAGTTGACATAACATTGCTATATAGTTTTTACAGTATGCTGTTTTATTATAGCTGATGTGAATTAGTTTTTGTATGCTTAAGGCTTTTTAAAAATTTTTCTTTGTTATAGTTTAGAATTTTTTATATTTCCATATTTGTCTACTTTTGTGATTTACTCATTATGTCTGTCTCTTTTAGTCAAGTTGAGTCAAGCTGGGAGTTTATTTTAGTGAATAGATTAAGAATCTCACTTGATTTTTTTTTTCCTAAATGGCAACCCAGTAGTCCAAGTAAAGAATCCTTTCTCAGCCATTTGTTTGCCTTATCATACGTATCTATATAAATCTACTACTCATGTATTGAAACATCACGTTGTACCCCATAAATATATATAATTGTTATTTGTCAATTAAAAATTAAATTAAAAAAATAAAACACTAATGTTCATTGAATTTTGGTGGAGCATCAAAGAAGAGTATCTATTATTATCTGAAAAGATTATTTATATACTTCTTTTTTTTTTTTTTTTTTGTCTTTTTCCGTGTCCGGCAACG